AAGAAGGTAATAGAAAAAAATATATTAGAAGCCCGGTGGCGTAGCGGTTAGCGTCTCTGCCTGGCAGATCTGGGGGCCATGGCCTCCGTTCTGGAGGTGCTGTCTGTGTGGAGTTTGCATGTTCTCCCTGTATTCGCTTTGGTGTCACTCGGGTGCTCCAGCTTCCTCCCAGTCCACAGACATAATCCTAGGTTATGTGGGTTCTGAGAAAACTGGCTCTGGTCTGAGTGTGTGTGTGCGTGTGTGTGTGTGCGTGCGTGCCCTGTGAGGGACTGGCACCTGCTCCAGGGTGTATCCCACCTTGCACCCGTTGCTTCCTGGGATAGACTCCAGCTCCCCTGCGACCCCGAGTTGGATAAGGATAAGGGGTTATTGAAAGTGATGTGACGATGATGATAATCAGTACCTGTCAGGTGTTGATTATACTGCCGAAATAATGGCGAGTGTTTAAACTCAGCAAAAAAAACAGTGCTAAGGCAGCAGCATCGGCCATTCAACCCATCAGACACTTTCCGTCTGCTAATCACTTTCAGGAAATCTTAAACTGTTCTTCTCTCGCACAAGATTGTGATGGATCCTTAAGGTTGATAACTTTTGGAAGTGGAACTGGAAAGCAGCTTTGGCATATAGAGAATGTCCCCTTGCTTATTCCAGCCCCGCCTTTCCTGCTCCTTATCCCACCTGAGGACGCTGACGGGTCCCGTGTGCTTTGCCTCTCTCTTTGCTCTGCAGTCCAGACCGGAAGCACTGTGCCTTCAGTGTCAGCCAGAGGCCAGGCACGGAGACCCGTGCTGCACAGCCCTGCCTCTGCCTGCAAAACCTTCGACGTCACTGCTGTGCTGAAGCAGGTGGCACGACCTGGATGGTAGCCGGTCGCTGGTCTGGTGGTCTGAACTGGGCAGATCTACCCTATGGTGCGAGGAGATGCTTCTTCCACATGCAGTCCCTGAGAACTTGTACTCTATTCTACGCTTCTACTGCTTTAAAGTGATGCTGTAGATCTTTTCAGGACTCTTGTATGTCCTAGAATAGTTAAGCAGGGGGAGCAGCTGACTGGTCGTTTTACTGTGTTCCTGGGTAGCTTGTTCCATACTCCCACAACCTTTTGGGTAAAGAGCTGCCTCCTGTTGTGGGTTTGAAATGCACTTCCATGTCGTTTCCACTCAGGCCCTCTGCTTCGTGATTCTTTCTTCTGGAGAATTGTTCAGATCAAGCCTGCCACATTCAGTGGAGTAAGTCATCTCTTACATTAAGAGAGCACAAGAAAACATCCAGCACGAAAGGGAACCTACAGTATATTTCCTTATGTGGTTGCTGTGCCCTGTGCCCAATGTGGCTGGTTGCATAGAAAGCTGATATATATATACCACAGATGTGGACTTGTTGTGGCACAGTTGTACTGCTTGGCGGAGGAAGCATGCATTTAATCGTGACAAGGTGCTGTTTGTTTTACAGACAGATTCTGTTACTTTGCGGTGAACTGATATGGTAACCTCTTTCCCAGATAGGGTGATAAGACATAACAAGTAAAGCAGTAGGCACGAATTTGCCACCCTTGACCTGGAGAGCCAGAGTAAGGCAGGGCTTAGAGGTCACCCCTAGTCAGCAGCCATATCGCCCTGCAACTCACAACTGGCCGCCCACCGAAGCTCAGCAGGTGTGAGCCTGGCCAGTACCTGGAGGGGAGACTCCTGGGAAAGCTAAGGCTGCTGCTGGAAGAGGTCTTTCTTATACTGGTGAATGAAATGTGCTCCTTTCTTCCTTTTATAGTACCTAAGCAAAAACATTGCTTAGTGAGGCCAGCAGGCGGTGCATCCTGTTGTCTGTGTGGGTCCTAATGCCCCAGTATACTGATGGGGACACTATACTGTAACAAGGCATAAAACCGAGGTCCTGACTCTCTGTGATCAATAAAAATCCCCGGGCGTTTCTCGAAAAGAGTAGGGGTGTAACCCCGGAGTCCTGGCCAAATTTCCCATTGGCCCTTACCAGTCATGGCCTCCTAATAATCCCCAACTCTGAACTGGCTTCATCACTCTGTTCTCCTCCCCACTGAGAGCTCATCCAGGTGGGGCTACACACTGCTGGTGGTGGAGGGGAGTCCCCATTATCTTTAAAGCGCTTTGAGTGGAGTGTCCAGAAAAGTGCTATATAAGTGTATGGAATTATTATTATTATTATTATTATTATTATTATTATTATTATTAATTAAATCATTTATTTGTAGAGAGTTGGTACATACAGTATGTGAGTTTTGATCAATGTCGTGAGGTAATAGATTCGATTAAGTCAGGAGTAGCAAACTGTAGTTCTGGGGATCTGCAGAGTGTCAGGAGTTTCTTTCCAAACGATGTCTAAACTACTTAAAAGCACAAATCATCTGCTGAAGTAGTCAAAACAACAATGTTGAAAGTGTTTGGACATTGGTGTTTTATGTTTGTGTTTAATGGGGCTGTTTCTTTCATCTCTTAATCTGGGACAGTACAGAAGTTTTTTTTCGTAAATGTTAAACATCCTTGTTTTTTTGCAACTTGAAAAAACAAAGTAGCTAGATTGATAGTGTTGGAGCTTTGAGTGAGACACTGTTGTTATCTTTTATATTTATAATGTTGACTCTCCTCACTAATTAAAAGAAGGTTTGAGATTTTCACCCATTAAAATACCCGGCCTGCATTTAGACTTTATTTCCAGGTGGATACTGACGTGCCGACCGGATTGTTTGCCAAAGGGAAAAACTCTTCGCCGTTTCGCGCTCCTTATTTGGGCGATCCGACTCAGAAATGCAGAAGAAATGTTTCAGCTTGGCCTCTTCAACTTTCATGCTTTATGCAGTCGAAAGCCTGAGAATGTGCAGTCAGAGCTGCCAAAAAACGAAAGAAAGTAATCAACGTCGACAATTTCTGTGGAACAGTGTGCTTGAACTTTCCGCTTTTAAACACAGTAAAGATCTGGAACGGCGCTGTCCGTTATGGCCGCACTATGTTTTATGGCAAGGGAACTTGGAGAGGGCGGAATGCGGGGCCGAGATAAAAGATTCCAAATATCCACTGAAGTGTTACTGCCAGTCTCTCGTTTCGGATGGCTCCAGCAGGGAAATCTTAACAGCTGTGGACAAGCAAAGGTGAAATTCCCGAGTGTCAGGATACTTCGAGGGCAGGAATCATTTATGGGAAGGAAAAGACGTTTGTGAATTGTGGGCCTACCCGTGCTCCCTATTCAAGCACTGTGCAGGTGGCTCCTGGACAGACGTTGTTTTAGTCCAGCTTTATGAAGTTGTTTCTTTGAGGCTGAGCGTGAAAACAGAAATCAAATGTTAACTGCATTATTCATTTCTCTCCGTGACTATGCCACTTGGAAGCCT